GATACTATAGAGCAGATATCTTTTGTAAATCCAGTGTAAACATGGTAATTTTTTTTAATATAATTTCTTTTTAAATTAAGCTAGAGATGAGTGTTCTGTATTGTCCTCACTGGAAAAAAAGAAAGCTCTGGCAACTTTATTCTTTGAAACGCTGGAATGACCCAAAGGCTTGGAGTTGAGATTTGATGTTGGCAGGAAAGTGGCCTGCTTGTTGAGCATGTGCTTTTTGTTATTTCTGTGCAAAATCTACATATTTAACCAAGTTTTAACTTTAACTCCTAGTATGATCTCTGCTTGCTAGATTTAAACAGTAAAGTCTTCCATAAGTGCATTCCCTGCTGATTTCCATAACCCCTGTCCAGGTGGATGTGCTGGGAGCTCACTGAGTTGCTGGCTGTGCTCTGGCCCCTCGGAAGTGTCAGCGGGACTGCCCTGCAGGCACCTTTCAGTGCAGATCCAGTGACACAATGGATCTGGGAGCCTTCCCCTGCTGTGGACAGGGATCCAGCTGAACCCAGCTGGCTCAGGAAGGCAATCCCATTTACTGGGGCTTGAGGATGGTAACAAATTAGTAAGAGAAGTGACATCCTAAAGCTCTCACAGCTGTTTCTGAAGTGTTTCAGCACAGCTGGGGAGCCCAGGTAGGGCATTTCTTGGCACGTTGGTCAAAGCCTTCCCTGCCTGTGTCTGTGCTGCAGCTGCCCTGGCAGAGCCTGTCCCAGAGCAGAAAGGAATGTGGGCTCTGTGGTCAGTGCAGGTCATGGCTCTGGGTGTTAAAATTTAACAAACAGCAGCTTCGTTACACATGCTCAGCAGGGAACTGTAGGAGTTTCCCCCTTCCACTTTTTATTCTGAGGAATTATGATAAGAAAGTTATGAACCCAAATTGTAGATGTGGCTAGCATGGAAAAAGTAGTGTGGAAAAGGGTGGCACTATTTGGTGGTACCAGTAATTTCCAGTCACTCAGCCTTAACCTGCTGTTAAGAGGGACAGGACAGTTGTGTCTGGTTATGATGGTTTAAAGAAAGGATTCTGTCCAAAGGACTCTGCAAAACTGCTGCATTCCAAACATCCTGAACTGGCTTTGTCTCTGTAAATTTGAGATTTTTCTTTACAGTATCAGCTTCATGTGTGAACCACCTAATATGAATAACTGGTAGCTGTATAAATGAATTATTTTCAAGGATTTAGCATTAATTCTGCTCTCTGTAATTCCTGTCACTCCTTGTAGTAGTTATGAAATAAGTAGGAAGTGTAATGATTTTGTCATTTACAATTTCTGTAAGAATCCAGATGTTTGAAGAAAAATATTTTGTTAAGAAGTAATTCACTGGGAACATCAGTTTAATGTTGACCTTTCTCAGGCCTTAATCATCTTTAATAATTAAGATTTTTGGTGATGACTAATTTTAATGATTGCTCTGTTCAAACATCAGGTTCCTGACTGTCCTCTGACTAAGCAGCCTGGGTGCACAAAGAGTTGAGTATTCGTACAAAACTATGCTGGGGATGAAATCTTGAGCAGCACAACTTCCTCAGTATTGTGGTTATCTGCTAAAAACTCTCCCCAGTTGAGCTAAAAAGTTTCTCAGTTCTTATCAGTCCAAGGTAAATACCATTTTTCTAGTCATTCAAAATACTTTGGATAACTGACTTTCTGATAAACCAGGGCCATAACTGAACTCCAGTGAGTTTGCTGCATCCTTTGCATCTTGCAGCTTCCAATGCCTGTTGGATCCACTCTTTTTTTAAAAACATCTTTTCAGGAACACTTCCTGAAAGCACAGGGTGATTTATAAGTTAAAAATATGAAATCACTAATACATAGCATGTTATGTAAGCTTACAGTTTGTAATTTATATCAGCTGATCTGTCTGGGCAATCTATTAGAAAATTGTAACTAAAGAGACAGAAAAGAAAGGGTGGAGGGGTTTCTGTGCTTTTGATTTTTTATTTTCTTTTTAAATGTTTCCCTTAGTGAGTAATTATTCCATGGCTTCCCTAGTCCACAACATAAATATTCTAACAGCTTGATATAAACTCCACTAAGAACCTAAGCAGGTTTTTTGGATGTTGCTGGTAGTTTATGGTAGTGAGGAACACAGTTGTATTTTGAATACACAGAGAATATAAAGCAGAATGTCTCAGTTTAGTGGAAAAAGAAATACAAAGATAATCTTATGCATTGCTGCCATAAAGCATGACTTATAAGTGAATAAAAATAGTGTAAATGTTGAATTCCATTCCTTAAGTTTTCCCTTGCAGAGTGGGATGTTTTCTTTTTTTGCATGAGTGGGAATAAAAGTGCATGAATTTAGAAAAAAAAGAAAAAAAAATATAGTTATTACATAGAGCAACTTGTGATTCCTGGAGACCACAGTCCAAGCAGGTCTAGATTTTAGCCAGCTGAATTTCGCTGAGAACTTGGAGAATGAGAGAAATGGCAGTTACAACATAATTTATCTTGATAACCAGAGAGAGACTCTCTTACCACATTCCCATAGTGCAAATATTTGTGTGACTGTGTTTTCTGGGCTCTTTCTTTGCCAAGACAAAATCTTTGACAGCTTTTCTCTGTGCCTTTCTGACGTGGATTTCTTCTGGGCTTTTCCTAGATGGGTATTGAGGAACATGAAAGAGGCACAAAGGTTTTATTTCTCATGTTTTATTACCAGGGCTCCTCCTTGCCTTTACCTGCTGGCTTAGAAATGCACACACTGTGAGATAACACAAATAAAGTCACGGCATGTACAAAGCGTTTCAGAGAGCAGAGCTCCTGACAGAGGGGCATTATTTTGTACAAGTGATTTGGGAATATGGAAAAGGAATGAAAAGTCTTGTTGAAAACTTCTGAAGTTACTCAGGATTTTGTGGAGGGTTTAAATCAAATGTTTTGATATTAAATTGTTCAAATCTAAAAGCTATTTAAGGGACTTTGCAAAGATGTGTCATTTTGTCAGTTATCAAATGTATAGAAGAATCTATCTGATGTAAAATGATGAAAATTCATAATGGATATATTTTAGTTTCGTAGGGCTTTCAAGAAGTGAGCAACATCAAAAAACCGGGTGAGTATGTGTGGGGTTGAATTTAACTTAAAATATGAAAATAATTTCAAGATTACAAAAGAATCTTTAAACAGCTGTGGTGTGTCAAGGGCTTGAGTGGATAAAGGGGAAATAAGCCAACAGCAACTGAATATTTGTAGGGATTTAAAATATTGTATAAATAAGGGTGCCGTGTCCCAGAGCACAGCAGGGTATGAGGGGCAGGTTTGGTCTCTGGGGGGGTTGCCGGTGGCGCTCTGTCCCACAGTGCCGTGGCCGTGCCCAGGGGAGCTGTGCTGAGTCACCCGGTGAGGCTCAGCTGTGCTCTGGGACACCCTGAGCACCGTGTGAGCCATCCAAATGCACCGTGTTCTCCACAGACAAAATACCACTAGCAGTTCTCACTAGTGGAGAAGAAGGGCTGTGCTGGAGGCTTTTCCTCAAGCCTCTCAGGAAATCCTTGGTACTTATTTTAGCACTGAGAGACCAACAATCATAAACCTGTGTTTCACCAAGAGGCCAGGCAGGGAAGGTGGTCACTGTCACAAATGATCTTCTTATCAGGTTCAGGTTTGCTATCCACAGAGTTTTTCCAAACTCCACATTGGCAAATTCCATTTTAGCAATCAAAAAATCCATTTTAGCAGTCTGGAATTTGTCCCCTGCTCTTGTGAAGCTGAATGAGAGGGAATTGTTATTATATTTCCAGTTACCAGAGACATTTTTGTTTTACAGGAGTCTTCAGAATTCTTTTAGAATTTCCTTTCTTTTGAATAATTTTTTTTAGGAAATTTAACGAACTTGTCTTTTGGGGAGGGGGGATCTTTCTTTAATTCCTGCTAATGTAATTGTATCAAATATAATATACTTTCATCATAATAATGAAATGTTAGAATGGAGTAGAGAAATAGTGACAATAACAGAAAAACTGTAACACTGAAATTGTGAAAGAGGCCCACTCGTTATTTACAGTCAGCTTGATGTTATCAGAGATTCTCAATACAGAAACTGTAGCAGGAAACCCAGAGTTGATTTTCACAGAGCACACGCGGTATTTACCATCTTATATATTCCTTACTATGCCATCCCCAGATACTATGAAGAAACAAAAGGGAAAAAAGGAAAAAAGAAAAATGTGCTGCTGTTTGGTGTTCCTTTTTGTTCCTTTTTTGGTTTGTTTTGTTTGGGTTTTTTTTATTAATTGGGGGGGGGTGTGTTTTTGTTTTTATTTTTGTTTTAATGAAAGGGTTGAACTTTCCTTTTAAAAAGATGAAAAGTATAATAATAATAAAATAGCAGACTTGTTGAGGCAAACACATTGAAGTCATTCAGAAAAATAACTGCATGACATCATGGGAGAAAGATAGAACCAAAAAAGGACAAGTTTTGTAGGCCAAATAGCTTCTATTCATTCCCAAAGAATTTGCCCTACTCGCACAAGAATTGGGAGAAAGAAAGAAAGAAATAAAACCTTCATCCTTGGAAGCTCACAAAACACAAGTATGTTGTCCCAGATAGAAAAGGTCAAGAAAGCAAAAAAATAAAATGAAGACATGACTCTAATCAGGAACGCTTACTGAGAAATACTGACTTGCCACTTCAAAAAGCAGAGCTGAAAGTTCCTCCGGTAACCCAAAGAACTCCTGGAGCCATTGTGAGTCACTCTCTGTATGCTCCTGTTATCTTACATTTTCAGCAAACTAGTATTTGCATATAAAGGATGATTTTTGACACATTTGTCTATCTTGATCGGAGCAGCAGGAAGAGCTTTCCACCTTTCTGAATTCAGCGAGGTGATTCCCAGGCGCTTGCTTGGCACTGGGAAATTTGAGAGACATGAGCTGCTCCCCACGCTGGTCTGTGCCCTGTCATAGCTTACCCTGCTCTGAGGCAGATGGTGGTGTTTGTGTGAACCAACCCACTAGGTCAGGAAATGCAGCATTTGGGTTCAGAGGGTTTCCAGGACTGAGGCACTATGTAATCTCAGCTCTTACACCCCTTGACATATCCAGGCTGTGAAATAAATGCTCTCTGAATACAGTGAGGGAAATCTTGCTCTTCTCCACAGCCCTCTTTACCTGCCCTGTTTCTTTACCTGTCCTATTATTATTTTGTGGCTTTCTGTATTCCAAAGGTATCTGTCTCTGGACAGAGACCTGCTGCCTGCCCCTCTGTTGCCTCTACAGCGTCTAACCATGGCCAGTTGTCATTCCTGCCCCTTCCCCACTGTTGATTGCAATTTTCACATCATGTAGTTCGATCCCCTATCTTTGTCAGAAATCTTATTTGTCCTTGAACGTGTGCAATATGCATAAAAATGAATTTATTATCAAAGTAACATATAAAAGTCCTTGAAATTGTTATTTTTGAAGATGTTGTTAAACTTACACACTGTGTTAGTTACAGCATTCTCCTTTTATTAAACAGAATGAAGGAGCTACTCTTGTTGAGAAGAAAAGAGAACGGCAAAGAAAAGTGTCAGAAGTTTACAAGAGCAGGAAGGTAATATCAATAGGGAACTGGCTGTGTTATCTGAGGGCTGAAAAGGAGCTGGTTTAAATGGATACACTGGACAACATTAGGACAGTTTGGTACCTTTTAGTGCACATATATAAGGAATTAGATTTATTTTCTTGAATCAGTCCAGTGGTACCTTCAGGAGATGGTGCATGTTAAAATAGCATTATGGTCACACAGGAATGTAATTTCCAGAATAACACCTGAGGCTGCACACCTATACTGTGGTTAAGAGCAGATTTGCTGACTTCCTGGCATATAGACTTTGATAAGTTTTATTAATAAAATAATGACATAGAGTCATTGAGACACTTTTAGCTTTGTGATTTAAAACCGAACAACAGTAGTCCTAAGGCTCTAAAACACTAGAAAAGAAGTGCCATTCTTAAAGAAACTCAACTTACGAAATCTGCTCTTTGAGACCATGCAGAGTTGTAAGGCAGCAGACCAAGTGAGACTGAAAAGGTGGCTGTAATGATGAGCAGTGCCATTTGAATGTTTTACAGTCCCAATATGAGGAGTAATGTGAGATTTCTAAACTTCTGGGCACAAGCTTTGCACTGTGGAAACGTGGTAGGATAGATACCAATACTTTTGGCTCCTTTTGTTTATATGCATCTGTGCATTTCAAATCCCATAGTGTAGGCACTTCATGTGTGTACTCCTAAGGAAAAGGCTTAAATGTTAAAGTTAAGGAGCATTTCTTACTTGGGAAGACTGTGAGTCGAACCTTTCCAGCAATTTTTTTGGTAAGACAAAGTGCATCCTTCATGTGACTGTTGGAGGGAGGTGAAGTGAGATTACTTGACACACATTCAGGTGAAAGCTACATTTAGCTGCAAACTTGAAGAATAAATGTTAGTGTAAAATAATTTTTTTTGGCTACCATTAGGCTTGCAAAACATTTCTGTAGTAGCAATGTTGTTGCCATGCTAGTCTTCAGGGCTGCATATGTGCTACACAATACAGATTGGCCTGGTGCCTGTAGGCTTACATTTGGTATGCAGCTGTCTGTAGTTCTGAAGGATTAGTTTTAGGGAATTTCCAATTAAAAAAAAAACAAACCCACATTAATTTCAGAGCTATGAGTTGTGTGCGTTCAAATATCCACCTCTGATGGACCAGTTCCCTGGTAATTTCTGTGACCACAGCCTGTTCTTCTGATCCTTGCTCAACTCAGAGGTTTTATCTCTTCTCTAACAATGTTCTCATCCCACCTTTTTAAAAATGGCTGTTTAATCTCAGTTACTCAAGAGGCCCTCAAGGGTCAGTCTCCACCCAGCAAATGGGCACCTTTTTTTCCCCTCAAATAATCACTTGCAGGAGGCAGCTTTTCTGCCTTCCATCTCTTTCCCCAGACTGCACAGGCAGTGCAGAGTTAGATAAACAATATTTTTTGCATATCTACAGAAAATTGACCCTCTGAATCATGATAGAAATGCTTCTTCTTCTTGTTTCCTTACCCTGATAGAAAGCACTGAGAAAGTCTGCCAGTGAGTATTTTCTGAAGGCAGAGTCCTCATTAGAAAGCCCACATGAAATAGGCTTATGTGATAGCAACTAAAAAAAGAAAGACCTTTTCTTTTGCACTGTCCAGAAAGAATTCCATCCACATCCTTGTTTCTGTAATTCACTCTAAAAATGTAATTGAATGACCCAGCAGAATTACTTAGTAAATTGTCATCTAAATCCATTGAGCAAAGAAGTGTTTACTGTAACAGCCCAGAAATCTTTATAAATGTAATAGTTAATCCCTTACAATTCAGATCCAAAAAAAAATGTGTGCCAATATGCTCATAACTGAAGCATATTCATCTTTCTACACAGATGAAATACATTTGTCATATTTAGCAGGAGATCTAGGGAGAAAAACACTGTTTTCCATCTCAATTTTTAGTAAGAAAAAGGCAGTTGAAGTGGGGCATTAAAAAAAAAAGGGGGCATGACAATTTTTTTTTCATTTAGAAACAAAGAAAACCCCCCACCACAAAGGTGTTCAAGGTCTGTATTAAAGAATAACTTTCAATAACTTATGTTTTGGATTCTTTCAATTGCCATCCGTTTAGAGCATGATTACCAAAATGAGAAAATGATACATGGAGAATAAATAGAGGAACATTCAGTGTTTCATTTTTTTGGCATTATTAGTACATTTTAGATGGCATGTACTTGTAAAAATCAGAGCAGACCGTTGGAATTTGGATTAAATTATATGTTTTATTTCTTCCAACAGAGATAAATTAAACCAAATCCTGTGTAAGCTGGTTTGAGTTCAGCATTTCGCAATGGATGTGGTTAAGTAAGTACTGAACTAACCTATACACTACGTGTCAAATCTCTGCTTATAAACTAATGCTTCTGAGGATAGAGAAAGCCCTTCTTACTGTTATATTCCAAATGGCTCATGTGGTAATACATAAAATAAACATCCATAGAGAAAAACTGCTTTTAGTTTCAATAGCTTGTAGATTGAAGTTAAAAAGAAATCCAAAACTCCCTGCAACAAGCAATTAATTTTAACCCATAAGGCTAATAAAACAATGGCAAATATGCAACCTGCCTCACAGAAAGATGATTTAATGTCACTACTGTTCTAAAAAAGACAGTTTCACGTGTTGCAAGGCTTGTCTGAAATCCAGTTTTGAATTATCAAAATAGGCCTTGGTATAAAAAGCTCAAGGGTTTGTTTCTTTTTTGTTTTTTAAAGTCATGTGCAGCTGTAAAGATTTTGCTTCTATCCACTGGAATAGAAAGAACATTTTTTATAAACCATGTGACAGTGTTATTCTAATGGATTTTAGGCAGGAACTGATTGTGGGGGTTTTTTTAAACATTTTGAGGATTAGCAATAGGAACAGCAAATTTTTAATAACAGTGCCATTAATAACACATTTGTTCATAACATGGAAGATTTTAAAGTGGTTAGTAGAAGGATAATAAGAACTTGAATTTTGTGGACGATGGTCAAAAAGGAAGGAGACAGTGGAACTCAAAGCTGCTACAGAAATGAATCTGATGGAGCTGTAAAGGGTAGTCATGCATGGTAAAGACAATATAAGGTCAGGAAGAAAAATGGAGAAACAAATCCATTTTAAAAGCACTTAATCAAATTAAATGTCTTTTACCTTTACAAACTGCAAAGGACAGGTGAACTTTCCTGTGACTGTACTGCAAATATTACTTTTAATCAGGAATCCAACTCACTTCTCTTTCACTAAGTATAAAAATAAAAAATTGGAGAATAAACTAAGAAAAATAATTTGCAGTCATCCAGAAGATAAGCAGGAGGTGAGTAACAGGGTGGATTTGTGAACAGCAAACCATGGTAAGCAAGTCTGATTTCCCTCTCCAACAGGGGAGCAGCTCTTCTGAATGAGGGGTAGGCACTTGTATATTTTAATTTTAATAAGGCTTTTGAAAAAGGTCTCAACATTCTTATAAACTATCTAGGGAAATGCAATGTAGGTCATACATTAGGGCTGTGTGCCAGATTCAATTTCCCCCTCCAAATTATGCGATTGAGAACCTTGTGCAAGTTGGGAGATGTCTCATCTCACACGAGCTGCTTCTTCCTGGTAACATCACCTCCGAGGGAGACAGTGGCGTCTCATACACATCCCTGCCAGTGTGCTGGGATTCCTGTGGCCAGGGAGAGCGCGAGGAAAGAGGCAGAAATGTAGGATGAGAGTGCTGTAACAAGCTCAAAGAGGCTGAGCTATGCCTCCTAGCCAGCTTTATTAGCTCTCCTGGTGACAACTGCAAGGGCTACTGAAAACGCAGTATTTTTGGAATGGGGTCTCCTTTGAACAGGTGCAGTACAACTCTGCACCTGCCTTCTGGCCTTCCTTGCAGGAAGTCAAAATTTATGCATAGTTTTTTGTGTTGCTGTAGATTTAGTGGTGGTTGAAAAGTGCTCAAAAATTATCATGGACTTGGTGGAACTTTACAGAGGGGTCTTGTACATGTTTTTCTTCTATTTTGGTGTCTTGAAAGCTAGAATTGAACGTTAGAATGTAGTTACTCAAGAATCATAAGATAGAGAGGAGCTCCCAGTTTGTACAAACCAGTTGTTGATCAGGTAATGAGACACAGCACTATGGAAACCTTTTGCCACTTGGTCCACAGAAAGGGGAAATGCTTAGCAGGGAAAATGTAAAGAGCTGCATATGGAGTCACTGCTGACAGCTTGAGAAACAACAGGTGATAATGAATCAGCACCAACAGCTAACTGCTCATTCTCTGCTCAACTGTCAGAACAGCAAAGCTTGGCTTAGAAGTACAAGAATTAATTAGTTGAAGTCAGGAATAGAAGCAATGATCGTTAATGTGCCACCTGGGCATACTCATGTCCACCGAAGTCAGTGGATGGTGCTGATACCATCATCAATAGAGAGCAGGACAGAACCAAGCAGCAAACTAAGAGTGGCCTGGCTCTGCTTCTGAGTTTGTTTTGGAGGTAGATCAGGAACAGAGTTCTCTGTCTGCTGAACAACTCTGATCTGTTACTCATCAACTAAACAAGCCAAAACAGAATTAAAACAAAGCAACTCACCACCTCCAAATGGAGTGTGGGTGCCAGGTCTGCTCAGCTCTTCTCTCCAGAGTGAACCTGTCAGCCTGCACGTCCTGACAGTCCCATCGCCGCATGGGGGAAGGGGATCAAAGGAAAACATACTGAGAACAACACGTGAAGTCTTCTGGAGCCCTCAACTCTGAGCATTTCTTGCATGTGAGAACAAGAAAAGAATCTTTATATAAGGTTGAAAAATGCTTCCATAGCACTAAGGAGGAAATGTTCTTCTGTTAACACACCTCCACTCAGTGACTCATGGGCTGCGTCTCGAAAGCATAGCTTTAGGTGCTGCTTTGTAAATTTGGGGTGCAGTCATCTTAAGGTCCTGCGTCATCATCAGAAAGTTACTTTCAGAGTGAGTAACTTTTCAGGGCTCAGCCTTCCTGAAGTCTGAGTTGCCTCTGGAAGTAGCTCTTTCTAGCTTGGAGTCACTCCCCGGCTGGAGCTGACGTGGTCTCAGTGAGAGATGCTCTGGACAGGTACAGGATACCTCTGGCACAAAAGGCTTCTCAGCTTGTCTCCACACAAATGCAATCAGCTGCCTTTCCCCTCAGGTGCCTCCTGTCCCAGAGCTATAGCAATGAACAGGTGTGAAGGGATGGTGACTAAAATGCATCACGAGTGGAATGCTCTCAGCTCTGGCTATTCTGTGCCAGTAGATGCACTTCTGTCCAGCACAAGAATGAAGAACTGTTTTTGGTCAGATATGCAGCAGAGACCCTTGGTCCATGGGATCAGTTTTGGGTGTGATTGGAAGTGTGGTGCTTAGCAGAGTACGTTTTGCCTCACTGACCTGAACAGAGCCAGTGAAGGACTGACAGGAGCACTGGTCATGAACAACAGACCGGCCCCAAATGTCTCCCAGCACATGGGAGACATGCTGACTGGGCATCTTTGGGGACTATTTGTAACATTTTTTTTGTTGTTTTTTACTGGGTTTTTTGGTTGGTTGGTTGGTTTTTTGGTTTTTTTTTGACATTTTGGCTACCAAGCATACACACACTCTCCTCAATCAGCTTTCTGAGGTCTTCCTTCCTAATGATCATTTTCCAGTCACTGTTGAGATAAATAACAACACATAACAGTAAAACTGGAAATAGTGGAGCTTGATAATCATTAATATTATTACTCTGAACTCTGTTTATTTTTTCCCCTGAATTCTTTGTAGAATTAGTCTAAGTGGTGGCATACAAGAGATAATTTTGGTAAATTACAGCAAAGCAATTAGAGAATGAGTTTAATTTACAAGCAGACATTTTTACTGCTATTTTCTGGGCTGCTTCATACCAAATAAAATGCTTGGTTTCTTAATTATAGGTAATAAGAAAAAGACTGAAGAAACTAATGACCAAACCAAAACATTTCATATTTGATCATTTAGATACAGAGACAAATTAAATTCCCTCTCATATTACAAAAATTGCATTAAAACTGCTCTTACTTAGGATAGCTCTTAGTTCCGTAAACGTGGTATGTTTAAAAAAGAAAGTTCAGTAAAGTGGCTTAAAGTTCCATGAGGTGGTTTAAACAGCAGAGCTCCCTCTGAGTGTGGCAAAGTGTCCAGGGATGTGAAGGACTTCAGAGGAAGTTGGACTGCATTGACTTGTTGGGCTCTGAATCTCAGGATGAGCTGAATGCAGTTCAGAGAAGCAGGAAGACTTTACAGGGATGATTTTACAGGAATGGTTCAGTAGGGGTGTACTTAGGATCATAGAGGAAGAGTAAGGGAGCTGTGGAGTTAAGGGCACACTCAGGTGTCTTCTGTTGGGATTCCAAATTTCCTCTGTGGAACATTGGGAACTGTGTTGGAAGCAAGGGCTTTCTCACACTTTTAATGGGTGATCCAGACATTTCCTGATGCAGTAAAGCTGCAATCCTGTGCAATCTGCTCCGGGTGGACCTGCTTCAGCAGGGGGGTTGGGCTACATGATCTCCAGGGGGCCCTTCCGAGCCCAGTTGCTCTGGGATTCCTCGTGACTGATGGCTGAGAGGGCCTGTCCTGCCCAGCACAGCCAACCACAGAGCAAGGGAGGATTCAGCCAAGAAAAGCCAACATTTCTGTAACACATCAGATGTAAAAGCAGGAGGAATGGAGAAAAGCTGTGCAAAGTAAAATAAACCTTAGGCAGAGGACCCCAGAGGACTATGGTGGAGGTGAAGAGAACATAATCAGCCTTCACGAAATCTTGATTAAACAACACTGGGCTGAACGAGACAAACTGTGGCAGAAGTGTACCGGTGTAATCTGCTTTATTGTCAGACTTATCTACAAATATCTTGCCTAACACGGGTAATTGTAATGACTTAAATATTAAAAATCCTAGCTAGGAATTACTACAAGGCACTACAATTAATAACTCACCTTTTAAAAATGTTGATAAAAGGAGGCAGCAAGACTGCTGTCTTTAAAGGATATTAAAGGATGACTATTAAAACTTTTTGCCATTCACATTAGTATTTTGAATTATGCAAATTATAGTTCTGTGCTTCCCTCCAAAGGTCTGTAGGCAATAAGATTTCTCCTTCCAAATGTTAATTTTTTTTTCTTTAAAGAATGTGTGTACATGATTAAACCAAGCTTGCCCTTCTACCTAGTTTTTAGAGAAGAAGCATCTTTCTATTGGTGTATTATAGGAATGAAGCTCCCTCCCCCTTCACAGAAGATGGCACAATTCAGAAGTTGTTTCAGAACATACTCAGTTTAATTACAGGATCAGTGAACACAGCAACGTTTTCTTGGCAACAGGTAGAAAAGCTGGCAGTTAATCAGTTTCTCTGGAGCTGTTTCTTGGCATTACATCGCTGCATTAGAAACTTGGATTTCATTTCTTACTTTGTTTTTCTGTTCCCCTGCTTCATTTCCTCTTTATCAGGTTTTTTTCTGGTGGTACATAAAAATAACATGCTGCATTCTTTGTTCTGAAGAAAGAATTAACTCGGTTGCTTTTGGAATCCATAACCAGTGGTGGGATGTGGTGAGAATCCTGTGCATATACATATGCATTATCTGATAATAAAGGAGGGAGCTAAATGAAGATCATGCACAGCTTGGAGAAGTGGAGAATGTTAAACTGAGATAATTACCATTGCTGAACTTATATATTAAAATGTAGTACATGCATAAGGAAAAAAATCAGTTGGGTTTCTCATGTCAAACTGCTGGTACATCAGGCAGGAGACAACCCCCAGGGCAGAAAGGGAGAGAACAGCCAACAGTACCTGTGACGTTTGTTGGTGTTTGATCACTGCAGCCTTGCTGCCTTGCTGAGTGCCCCATGCAGTTCATTTCTACTGACCACTGCATGCACTAAGTTGAATTTAATACTTGGAAGCAGATATGATATATTAAGAGCAGTATTTTCAGAGAAAATATATTGTTCTCCTTCCCTTGTCCCTTTGAGAGGCTAAACAAAACAAACAACAGAGGTAACTGCTGACTGAGGAGAGTGATGATGTAAGTCCTGTGTATCTGCACTTGACAGAACAGCGTAATTTTCCAAATTTTGCAATTCAGATTGCTAGGTTTTTAATACTTTTATGTAGTCATACGTAGAGAATATGAAGAATTAATTAATAATCTGCACTGGATCCCTGATGGAGCTCTCTGGGTAAAGATGAGCCATAAAGAATGATGTGCTTAATAATAACTGATAGAACTTTTAGAAAATTATTTGTATAGTTGTCTAGCACTCAAAATCATCTCACTTTTGCTGTATTCTTACCTTTATTTTTATCATCACTCCCTTTAATGCAATTTGAGAAGAGTTTTAATAATAATTTGCTTTTCAGAAATAAAAAGTTGTATTTTTGCTCAGATACCTCATTATTTTTGTGTTTGTACACCATATGGAAGACATGAACAGGCAGATTCTCCTTAGGAGCCTGTACTCAGGCCTTAAAATTTGAGTTCATTTCTGGAACTCTGTGCAAACTCAGTTCATCCAAAAGGAGAAACAGCATTGGAAAGAGTTTCTTTTCTGTCATCTTTTCTGCTTATTTATGTCTCTGTACAACAGTAACTGAACGTGGCTCCCACTAATTCCTGTCATGTCCATCGTCACTTCTGGTTACAGTTTCTTGTTCTGCAGTTTTTGGGGCAGGGTTGGAAGGAGTACCCAGATAAGGTAACTCTACTGAAGTTCTTTTGTCTTAGGACATAAATTTGCCACATTGCTGAAGTAAAATATTTAAATGTTGAGCTCTGCAAATCAGAATGTAGGGCAATGCTTTATTAAGTTAAGATGTTATGGGGTGTTTCGTTGAATGCAGAGCTTTAGAGCTGGGTTTTTTTTCTTATATGAATTGTGGAACAGACTGAAAAGCACATTTGTACCCTTCCATAAAAACAAAACAAAATGTTTTCAGAGGCAATGGGGAACAGGACAAAAAGAGTTAACAGTCAAACAGTACAACTTCTGGAGAACTTTATACTTCTCCTCTAAACATTCATCTCAGCAGTAGCCTAAAATTTTAGTTCAAATTTTCGCATGGTTTTATGAGGTGTTTATAAGACTTTTCAGTATTTTTCAGCAAGTCTGGAAAGAATACATTAATGTTTTTTCCAAAAGTGTTTCTTATCTATGCCTAGCTCTCACTTAAGTGGCTTGAGCTTATCTCTAACAAATAATGGGTTTTTAAGACTGGGATGGCACAGCTCTCTGCCCATACATGCTAGATTTTCTGCACAATTTCTGTAAACTGTACTGTCAGAAGAACAATGGAACTAGAGAATGTTTCTTTTTCTGCAGAGACACCTTCATTCCAGAGAAAGATTCTGTTTGTCTGATAAAGTACATAGGAAATATTAAATTCAGTGCTGAGCACCCTGTGTTCCAATAGCTTATTGACTCAGGTTGGTATTACTTAGAGTCACTTCCTGAACTTGGGGGCTAAATTATGCAAGTCCTTGGGAGCAAGACTCGTGTTCAGCTCAAGTGTGTCACTAAATCATGCCTCAAGAAAGGGCTGTACTGAACCTTTATGATATTATTGGGTATTTTAAAATTTGCAAAAATCTAAACACAGTGTCTGAATTTGATTTCAAAGGATTTGTTATTCCATTGGTTTTAGTTCTCTTAGAGAACTCATTCTTTGGAGCGCTCAAAGAGGAATTTCCTATTTAATGCTACTTTTAGGAGTGTTCTTCTCAAATTTGTCAGCTTTGGGAACAGTATGAAAGACATGCCTTGGATTTGCTCCTTTCATCTTGTTTCTTCTTTCCTCTTGACTGCGTTCTTATAGTGCAGTTTATTGATGATGAATGTGAGAGTAACGCCTGGTGATTTTGACTCACTTCAGATGAGAAATCTGAAAGTAACCACCAGTGAGTTTGACTCACTTTTCATTTCCTCTCAGGGCTTTCTGCTTTTATTTCTGGGCTTAATCACTATTATTGTAAAAATATTTGTTGTCTCCACAAAAGTTCCCAAATGATTTTGCCTGTGCCTTGGGTGTGCCGTGTAATGGACCCACACATACACATGGTTAATGAGCTGCCAGTTCAGTACAGAACTTATTTTTTCTGAATACAAAATATACTTTTATTCTGTCATGCTGTACCACACTTAAAATACTTTTTCAGGAATTTACTCAATCTTTATTTAGATGTGTTAATCCTGGTAAAAATGAGAAAATATTTTTGGTAGCTAAACTTAATGAGGTAATAATTACTCATTCTTGTTTTACTTTTGCTAGATTTAGTATCTAAATTTGGGGCATGAATATAAAATCTTTCCTGTGCCCACATTTCCAGATTTAAAGTACTTAGAAGAATCCACACTTATTCCAGCAATTTTCTGTACTCTGAATCCAGAATGAATATTCTGTTTCCACTTCAAAGTGTGAAAAAAATAATTCCTTTCTAAGGTCTTTATCTTATTTATTTCTAAGAGAATACTTATTAATTCACATGGCATTTACTGTGACTTCTTAGTAGTGTGTATGATTCTTCTGCAGAGGTTCTAAGTTTGCAGAGTAGACTCTTACTATTAGTCTGGTTCTCTTACAGTTTTCCTCATAGTAAAAGTGAGTAAAAAGCTTTTTCTGAACTGAAATCGTGGGCATTTATAGCTTACTTTAGATCCATGTAATGTAGAAAGCAAGCAAATTTGTATCCAGTTTTTCACCTGGATAATTTTCAGTCTGATTTTATATTTTTCGTGATCTTTTAATATGTTGTTTTCTATTAGCTGAGCTGTATTATTGCCATGCACAACATCGAGCCACATGAGAGTGAGAAATAGAGGACGGAAAGGAAAAGTAAGAATAAACAACTTATAGTCTTAATAATTCTTAATCAGCTACTGCTTTTGATACTTTAAACATGGTGATAATTAATGTGGAAAGCTCTGGAAGCCTTGGTAAGCTCGCTTGATCATCTGAAGAATGCCGGGACTTATTAGGGAAAGTTCATGATTCATACTCAAGGATTAAGCCAAGGGAATCTTGTGACCTAAGCAGCCTGGCTCTCCAGTGGTAAAAATGGGATTTTCTTATCTTACACAAAATAATAATTGAGACAGAGAGCAGGGATGGAAGCAGACAGGATGCATTGATTTAGGAGTCAGCAATACTTGGTGCTGTTTTGGCGAATTGTTGGCGTCGTGATGGAAATATAAAGTTAAATTATAGTACATGAAGTGTTCCATAGGGATGAATCAGAGCATTCCTGAGACACAGTAAAGATGAGAATTGTGACATGAAATGGGAGGGGTTTTTATGTTCAATGGCTGAGTTATCCTTAAAACATTTTTAGTCATTTGCCTGATTGGGGGAATTGCTCTTCCCAATCACTTCACAAACACAGTCACAGTACAGTGACACAGTCAGCACTCACAGCCACTGCAGGCAAGATTTGGAGTGATGACATGAAATCTACTCCTATTTCTAATAGTAAACATTGACTTGACAGAGTCAGTCAGCTTCAGTTTCCACAACTGAGTTAATAATTTGACTTTTGATTTGTGTGTTTGGAATCCTGAAAAAGGACCTTTGAAATATGAGCAAGGAAGGCTGTACTGGGTGAGGGAGCATTGCAGAGCAGCTCCACGAGACAGTCACATAAACACACGCTGGTCCCTTTGCCGAGCTCACCCACAGGAACAAGCTTGGTCATATTTAGATGCCTTGCCACCCTTATCCTCTCTTCTTCCTTCTTTTAGTGTTTTATCTTACTGTGTTTCACAGCTCGGAAGAGAAAATGAAAATACAAAAGCCAACCATCATTGCTCTTTGATTGTAATCTGATTCATGAGTATGAGAGAAGTAAATTGCATATAACTGATGATCCTGTTGGCTTCTTTAACAGTCATGCCATCAAATTCCTCAGCCTCCACAACGCAGAAATCCCTGGCAGGCCCTGAGGGAAGTTTCAGTTGTGGCCTTTGTGGGAACTGCATAGGTGGGGTCACAGCAAACTCCCTTCTCAGTACGGCACAAATCAGTGAAAGGGATGATGCTGCAAGGGCCACACTCCTTCGAATAACAGCAGGGCTTTGGATGGAGTTCTCTGGAGGAAATCATACATTTAAAGCTCTTTGCAAAGAGATCATTACAAAATGATTTCCCATCATTACACTCCCGTGCTCAGTTGCAACATCTGAAATTCATGTTTATTCAGACCTTCCTTTGCAACTTGAGTTGCAGTTGAAATAAAACAAATTATGCAGTGGGAAAGTATAATACACAGCAGTATATACAGTAAATTCCATTAGCACTATAAATTATATCTTTGCTATTATTAGCTAAAGATGCCTCATTTTTTAACATTTATTCCTGTAATCAGTGTATGTAAGAGAGGGTACCTGCTCCAGAGAAAAGTGGGCCCTAGAACACATTTGTGAGGATTATATAAATATCAAAAATCTATGTTTTGTATTGGAAAAATATTCTATGTTTTCTTCTCATATCAGAGTTAAACTTGGTGTGAATATTTAAAACTCATATACATAATCCTGACATTTGTATGGACATGAATTATCTCTGTTTTCAACACAGCTTTGAATATCAGAATAGAATATTTTACCCATAAGAACAGCAATAAGCAAAGCAAGGATTATGAAAAACTTTAGGTGTTTTAATTTTCCTGTAAACATTGCAAAACAATAGCCAAATATATTTATTTTCTGCTGAGTAAAAAGAATTAAAAATCTTCAGTTCTACATGGCATTGTATCCAGGCAGCCCCATTCCTCTGTGGAGTTCCACCAATTGAATTATCCAATTCTGATTACAGATCTGCTTGCAAAAGCACAGTTTGCAGAGGGAAGGATAATACATTTATATATCATAAATAAAAACTACTTCTGCAGTGTTATTTAGACTTAGGATTTAGATTTTGGAGCCAAAGCCACCTCTTTTCTCACGGCAAGACTTTGGCTCTGTGTAGTGGGTACCACCCATGGATATGGAAAGCAATGAACACTGGCTTACAAATTAGGAATAATGCCAGATAAGATGAAACTATTTTAAATATTAGATGTAAGGAACAGAATTATAAAAATAATCACAAAATTCTATCACCTGAGACAGGAAACAGTTTACTTGGCTTTATTTAAAGTAAATATAATTGAAATTCTTGCTGTGACATGGACTGTATGTTCTCTGACACAAAAGGTCTCACAGTAGATCAACCAAAAGACAAACTCTGGAATATTGACAAGAGCTCTATAGAAATGCAGTAAAAGTCAAGTTTATGACATTTTATATAGCTTCAAAGAGAAATTGTTTATCAATGCTGAAGTTCCACAAGCAAGTAAAATGGGTTTTCTTTCCAAAAATAAAGTAAAATGAAGGCATAATGTAACATTTAGGAATATTTACATACCCAAAAATACATAAATGTAATACCTTTCATTTATTTTCACATTCAGGTTCAATACTCAGGATATAATATCTGAAGATGGGGGGTTTAACAAATGTTACTGTAAGAATGTGTGTTTTCAATTATCTACGTACAGTCAGCATCTGAGATTATTTTACTATTGATTTTGCATGCCTCGATTTTGAAATGTATTTTTGAATATTTTGAACATTCCCAACTCCCTGATGAGAGCTGGACTGGATAATTCCCCAGGAACAGGGTCGTTTTTCACTCCAGGGTAAAAGAGGGTAAAGGCTTCAGTATGACTGGGGAAGGGGGAAGAGAGAAGTACAGAGGAAGATGATTTTGGCCAAATGTTTCTTTTACAAACATATTTTCCTTTAATATACTTTGTAAGTAGAACATGAAATCGATTGCTATAAACCCCTCAAAGTTATATATTGGAATAGTTACCTTAAGTCATTTTATTCTCTGCCTCTATATGAGTGATGCCACTATCCATAACTCAAAATTAGGAAGGATTTCTTCATCACAGGAAATGGGCTGAACAACTCAGCTTTAAAAATACCTGGAAAATAGAGATTACTGTAAAAATAATGCTGCACTGTGATGAGTTTTAACTTGCAGTGTTTATTTTGACCACCTTTAAAAATTTCATGGAAGTAACTGAAACTCAGTCTTTATCAACATTTTAGGAATGTGGTGTATGGGCTCTGTAAATTCCACCAGTGCCCTTAAATTTCACAAACAGAGTGAGGTTCCAGAGTGCCCTGCAGCAAACTTGGATGAGAGAACAGTTATTTGCTGAACCTTTTCTAAATGTAAGTAACTTGGGCATTTTGTCACAGAAAGTCTTTTGTTTGAACAGCCTCATTGTAATGGCTAATTAGGAGATACCTGTTTTGCCCAACTATCAGCCATTTGAAGATTGACCAGGTTTACAAAACTCTGTCATAGAGGCTGAAATGCATTTTTCCACCTGGAGCAAACTTCATTGCTAACTAAATCAAACCTGTCCCCAAACAGAACAGAGAGCAGATACAGTAATATCACATCCATAAGTATTTCACTAAAAGCTGTCAGAGAAATAACAATGATAATTAAAATCATATGACTATTTAAAAGACTTTTATTTTCAGAGTAGAAATATTTTTCCACGGTGAAATTATTGTGAAGTCTCTCCGAAAATTGTTATAATGCTGATTTTCTTTTAAAAGTGAGAGAGATTTCTGCAGTATTTATATACTCCTACACATGATTAATGGCGTCAGTGCTGTCTTTTTTATTAGCATGTCTTTCCGACAGTATTTATGACATTAGAGGATTAATAATCAAGTGAAGGCTGCAGTCAAATGAAGTGCAGAGAGCACCACAAAGGCTTCTCCTGTGTATTTTAACCAGACTATCACATTTTAGGGGAGACTCTTCACCTAAGGACAGAGTTTGCCTTTCAGGCAAAAGCCTCTGTAATTTGTAATTTGTCCATGCTGGTAAAGACTCGAGGAATTCTGGTGGAATTGTGTGTAAGTATTTGTTCTGGTGAATAAGTTATCTTCTTCACTTATTCAAGTGAAGCCAGTGAAGATTTTGCCAGAAAACTTCAATCCAAGCATTAAAATCCCTTTTTAATGCCAAAAGGTAGCAAACTAAAACCAAGTTGTTTTCTGTCTCTAGCCATTAGTGATTCCTTTAGGTCAGTGTTGAAGGTGGCTGGACTGAAAATGTGCTTTTCACATTATTCACTGCAGTCAAACAGTTGTTTTAAGGATAAACCTCATGCTACAGCTAAAAATCCCTGCTACAGCTGGGAGTGAGAGTTACATTATTAAAGGGCACATGTGAGGAGTGTAAATACATGGGGAAAATATGTACTCGTATCACTGAATCATGGAATCAAGTATTTGTCATGCACAGCTTGAAATAACAAAGAACCCAAAACTTCTGAAGGAAGAAGTGTAGTTTTGCTGGATGATTTCTGTATTATGCCAGTCATTTCACAGCATGCTGCAGCTCAAAGCTAGTGCCTGAAATGTGGCTCTGGGATAACACATCCCAACAGCTCTTTGGTCCAGCTACTGAAACAAGGGAAAAACAGTTTCCCAGTTATCAGGCGATGTGCTGCTCTATAACCAGGTCAGCAGGACATTCCCAGTCTCATTTCTGCCTCACGTCACAGCCCCAGCCCGGACACGGGTGGGAGTGAAGGGACACACAGATACACAGATTTACAGATAAAGAGCTGTGTGACACTTCCCCTCACGCAAAACATCCTCACTGGAGTGGCAACTCCTCCTGCAGCCAAGGGGCCTGATCAGATGTGGAATTAGGCATATGGCTCATGGTTAATTTGTTGTGCTCTCTCCTCCTAAACCAACAGAAGTATTGCAGAGGAATGAGTACAAAGCAATTGCCAGTAGTAATATCTAGAAGGTCATCATCTTTATTTATTCAGTGTGTTAATCCAGCTCTCAGAGTCTGTGCCAGAGAGAATCTCCTCTGGGAGTGGCACCAGCCATTTTTATCAAGCAGCATTTACAGTCTCCAATGTTTAATCACTCTGCATTTAATAAGAGAGGGAACTTCCCTTGGTGAGCACTGTTGTACAATTTGGGATTTGTGAATATAGCAAAAACTTTTCATTTTGGTAAATAATTTGGCAGGTAAATATCAGCATGGATAGTTCCTTAATTTCCCTACTAGTTTCTCACACTTTAGACTGACTAATGCTCCAGATTCCAAAATCTCTCAAGTTTCACGTTATTACCTGTCAATTGAACTATTTGCTGTGTTGAAATGAAACCAAAATCAGCTCAGGCATATTGAATGTGTTAAAGGGAATTTGGTCTGGTGATTTAAAAGCAAAACCTATTCAAATTAAGACTTTTCCTACGTAATACTCATAATTTATAAAAGCGATTTACAGGGATAAATACAGAAGTAGGCACTCAGAATAAAATGTTCTGTCAAAAAGAACATTTTGCTGTGTTCCATTAGAAACAAAATGGTCTCTTACAAGTGTATTTGTTTAAAGATATGCTAAACTTATGGCTGTGCAGATCAGTCTCTTCCAAATGGGTCTTTGCCTTTAGAAATGTCAGGTAATAAAGATACCTATTTCTGCAGTCTTTGATTTTCAGTAGAGCTTCTATAAATAAGGAAATTCAATAGTTTCATTATAACCTCATAGTACAGGGGTTTTTACAACACAGTGTTTAATGTACAGTCTTGTATCTCTGAAGTTTTATCAATATGATGGTAATGACAAAAATATTACTGCCAGAATTGTAAGCGGACAATTACTAAGTAAAACTGTTTTGTCATTTAGACTTTATCTTTGATCACGTTACTTCTTTTTGAGTCAAATGTCTAGCTGCTTAATTTTTTATGTGACATTAGCCTTGTCTAGTACAATTTAAAATGTGGTTACAGGTGGAAGTTATTACTGCGTGAGAAATACTCGACTTTTTCTATATTCATGCTTAATTTTATTTTGTCATTTAGAGTATCTGTAGTTTGCATGAATATACTTGGCAGTTTATAAAGTGGTGTCATAAACAGAATAGGCAGCTACAGTGAGACAGCATTAGAATAGTCCTGTTTTCCACTATTTCTTCTGAACTTGTATGTAAGAAAAATAATGTGCTGGCTTTTCATTTCTTAATCCTTTAAGGAACATAGTGAATTTAAGGATAATTAATCTCCCTTTACTTTGGGTGTCTAAAACTAAGTTACAGAGATGAACAAGATGACTGAGGAGTACCCTATTATCAGTGAAGAGAAATGGGTGCTGTCAAAGAGTTATTCACCCTCTCATATGATAAGGATCGAAGATAGTTACGACTCAAAGAGGAATTTGCTGAGTTTTGAAAGATTCTACTCTGAATCTGGACTTATTCTGCAAAACCAGACCATCATCTTTAGGGGGCTTACGCTGTTAAGTCACCCTACAGCCATTAAAAGTGGATTTTGTAGAAAAGGGGTATTTCCTTTACGTCTCCTAAAGCAAACCATATGTGTGTGTATCTGTCTAGCTAGAAATATACACAGGTAATGGTTGCATTTGCTCCTTAAATGATCATTTGGTGCAGTGAGGCAGTACCAGGTACAATACATTTCCTGTATTCTGAAATGTTTGGTCATTACTTTAATCACTCAAATTTAGGCCTTGGGTGAGAACAATCAATGTGACTGTAAATCTAAAAATTAGGTAGAAATAGATATTGCACCTATAGGAGTACAGATAACGTACTTTCCATATTATCAAAAACTTTAATCAAGATTTATTAAATTTGTAACATTTTCTACTTCAGTACTAACTAAATTAGCCATGTTTGATAGGAATTCTTTCTATTACTCTACTCAGTTTTTACTTTTCTGTGAAGAACTTATCATTCAGCTCTGTAGTACTTTTTTTTTCCATAGAGGAGGGCTCTATTCTTCAATTCCATTCATCTTTACATGCCATTTGCTGCTTTACTGGGATTAACAAAGCGTTCCAAGTATTTTAACAGGAAAGTAATACATTCACAAAAATTCTCATTAAAGTCTTTATCTTCAAGTTACAAGAGACTGCACTCTTTAATGATTAAAAACTGCATACTGAAGCAGCACAGACTTAGAGAATTATTCTGATAGTACTTTTGTTACATAGATTTGGGAAGATCCCTTTCTTTGCTCCCACATTCTTGTGTCTTGGAGCTCTTTTACTATGGTAATAAAGACTGAATTCTTACTCAGGGATATAATCTGTGGCTGTCAATGACTAACAAACACATCTCTTCTGTTATTAAAACAATTCCAATGTGGAAAAGTTCAGTTTTAAATGTAGAGGGTCAAATTATACTTGAGGTGAGTAAGGCTACAAGCACACCTAAATAGCACCTTTCCAACAAACGTTTATTGCCTTACAATTGTCTCTGTTTCATGAAAAGTTGTACGGATTCTTAATTCATACTTAATTCATATTTTTTAAAATTCAGAAGGGAGCTCTATGTGATTTCCTATCAGTACAGGAATACATTAGGTGAAGAGCAGAGATATTGATATCTGGGTGCAGAGATATTGATATTTGAGAAGAGATAAATACTTAGAGCTCATTGAGGTGAATTCCTGGTGCACCACGGCTGAGCCATTGCTTCACAACAGTTTCTCCACCTCCAAATAATCAGAATTCCCTACAAAACATTCTGAAAAGAGGTGTTTCAGAATCAGGGAGTGCTCCCAACATGCATCCTCCAACAGAAATACTGCTGGTCTGTGGTTTGAAATGAAGGGGTCCTAGAAATGCTTAAATCCTAAATCCTTCTGCAGCGATGTGTGAGTAGGAGGAGAGATGGCCTCTCAAAGGTGATCTGGACCACACTCAGATCTTCATTCTGATCCAGTCCCAACGCTGAAGCAAAGCTGCTGTGAACTGAATTGTGCAGTCAGGCCTGTGATGCTGCAGTTCCTAATCCATCTCGGGTTATCTCCGTATTGACTAAATACAGATACAGTTTGTTGCTCTGGGAGACAAACACACATTGCAAATTAAATCAACTGCTGGAACAACACGAATATTTTTTGTGCCTAAGGAATGCTGGATGTTCTCAGAGAACATAGACATTAAGAAATGCAGTTCCTAATTGCTGTTATTCTCCATGCACTTTACTTCTGCAGGAATTTGTGGTGAGTTATGGATGCATACATTTGTTTGCTTCCTATGCATATGTCTTCTTTTACTTCTCTCCCTCAGGTTGCCAATGCTTTGTTTCTCAAAAATAAGTTCTCAAAAAGTACTTTTGCAAAGTCCTGGGGTGGCAGGTGTGTGAAAAGTGACAAGAATTTGAGGCCAAAATTTGAAATGTTTGTCCATTGCAAAGGAAATAATTTCCATGGTAATGATAATGGATGGTATTCATGGTAATGATAATGGATAAATAGGAATCCTTTGGACACTGAATACATCTTGCAATATTCAATACAAGGCCCTGTGCTATGAAATTTTGCAAATTCTTTTGTACATTGAGAGGTGATATAACATGGTATTATGCAAATCCCTGCTGGTATCTTGCTATTGTTTTATGTCTTTTCCATTAATGTGAAAGAACACACAAAAAAAGGAAAAGTTGACTGTAGAAGAAGAATTATGCATTTGCCTGCATATAAAGTAATTCATGAAAACAATTTTATATGTATTTATACATTTACAGATAAAACAGTTCTGGTTTTTCCTTCATTCATGCATTTAATTTAATAACTTTGAAAGATTCAGATGGAATAGTAACAGTTATATAATTTTGCCAACAGGTTCCTTGCAAGAGTGTTCTGAAAAACACGGAGTCATTTCAGTCAATGAGTTGTTGTTCTCCCCCTCACCACATTTCTGTGGCCACTGTCACCAATGGAAATCACAAGCTTGTTTTTATTACTTGAACTGGTGGGTATTACAAAAATAGTAGATCCAACGAAAAATGAAAATGAGACAACAGCTTGTTGTCTTAAATGCATTAAAGTCAATACCTACAGAACCTTTCAGAATTACATCAAATATTAAATGGAGGCAAATAAACATTATTTTAGCTTTCTTTTTATTTTAAAGATCTATTTCTGAATATTTTCCTGTTCATTCTGTATCAGTAGTGAATTTACATTCCTGTGCAAAAAGACTTGGAGGTAACTGCACAATTTAGATTTTATAAGACCAGTGAACAGGTACTGGGGCTCAATGATTTTGTCTGAACTTTGTTGTAAAATAAAAACCAATAACTACAAACCATGTCAGCATTGGGAACAGGGTATAAATTCTTAGGTAAGAAAAAGATTTTAACACACATTCATTAACTACATTATTTTCAGGAAACATTAACTTAGTTTTAAATAAATCCTGCATTCAAACATTACATATTTGGCCAAATGCAAATATCTCTTAGATAAAAACAATAAAATATTTCCTATCTACATTCCTGCTGACTTATGTAAAGTTAATATGCAGATACAATTTTGTGTGACCATTTCTTTTATTTTTCTTTGAAAAACGTCCTAAGAGATTTAGATTTATCTCTCTCAGGCATTTTGGAACTGGCTTGATAATAATTCTTTGGAAGAGAGATTTTCCTTTAAGTGTGCTAAGGTATTTTCTGAGTTCCAGAACAATCTGAGCCAAGACTTCAGTTGATGGGA